ATACAGAAACAAAATGAGAAGGGAATCACATGGTACACTAGAAATCAATTAGTCACTTACAAAAGAAGGCAGTAATGGAGTAACTGAAGAACAAAATATATATAGGCATATAGAAAAAAATGGCAAAATGACATAAGTCCTTCTTTACCAATAATATCTTTAATTGTAAATGTATCAAACTAACCAATTAAAAGGCAGAGATTGGCAGAACGGATAATATCATTATCCAACTACTGTGTCGACAAGACACTCATATCCAAACACAAAAATAGGGTGAAAATAAAAGGATGGAAAAAGATATTCCATGCAATAGTAACCGAAAGAGTGCTGCTTTGACTATTCTGACATCAGACAAAACAGACTTTAAGTCAACACTTGTGTCAAGAAACAAAGATGGACATTATACATTGCTAAAATGGCTAATGAATCAAGAAAATATAGAAATAAGCACCTAAAAACAGTCTCAAATTATATGAAGCAGAAACTCATAGAATTGAAGGAAGAAATAGACTATTCTACAATAATAGTTGGAGACCTCACTGCAGATGCCCCTCAACTTTCAATGAGGTTATGTCCCAATAAACCCATCATAAGTTGAAAATATCATGAGTCAGAAGTGTGTTTTCTATTGATATTTCCAACTTATGATGGGTTTATCTGGATTTATCCCCATCATAAGTTGAAGACTATGCTCAATGCATATCACTTTTGCACCACTGTAAAGTTGAAAAATTGTTAAGTTGAACCAGTGTAAGTCAGGGACTATCTGTACTCTGCTTTCAATAATGGATAGAACAATGAGACAGATCAATGAGGAAATAGAGAACTTGAACAACACTATCAAACTAACTGACATATACAGAAGACTCCACCCAACAACAGCAAAATCACATTTTTCTCAAATGTATAGGAGCATTAGTTCACAAAATAAGTCTCAAGAAATTTAAAATTTTTTTAAATTAGAATCATACAAAAGGCCAGGTGTGGTGGCTCACACCTGTAATCCTAGCACTCTGGGAGGCTGAAGTAGGAGGATTGCTTGAGCTCAGGAGTTCGAGACCAGCCTGAGCAAGAGCGAGACCCAGTCTCTACTAAAAATACAAAAATTAGCCAGGCCTGTAGTCTCAACTACTCAGGAAGCTGAGGCAAGAGGATCATTTGAGCCCAGCAATTTGAGGTTGCAGTGCTACGATGATGCCAGTGCACTCTACCCAGGATGACAGAATGAGACTCTGTCTCAAAAAAATTAAAAAAATCATACAAATTATCTGTGTATAATGGAATAAAACTAGAGATCAATTACAGAAGGAAAACTATAAATTTCACAGATATGTAGAAATTAAAGAATATACTTTTTTTTTCCGGGTTCCTAATTTTTCTTTATTCCAGGGTATTGTGAGGGTACAAACATTATGGTTACACTTTATGTCTTTGCCTCACCCAAGTGCGAGTTAAAGACATGCCCTTTCCCCCCTACAGTGCTCCCCATGTCCTTTAGTTGTGGATTTACCCCCCATCCCCCTAATCCCTAGAGAGTATTTCTGCCACGTGATCAGTTAGTACCAATTTGATGGCGAGTACAAGTGGAGCCCATTCTTCTGATCTTGTGGTACCTCACTTTGGATAACGGGCTTAAGTTTAATCCAGGAAAGTGTAAGAGGTACTAGATCACTGTCGTTTCTTATGATTGAGT